AATTATTTGGTTTGTTCAATAAACCCTGGGAGAACCAGCCTACAAATTTGCATCTTTGTAAATGTGTAAATAAAATTCTGGCTAGGTGGTTGGCACCCGGAGTACGCAGGATATCTGTGTTTTTGATATAGATACAGTAAAGGTTGATTTGGCCTCCTCCAGCAACAAAAGAAAATACATCAGATTATTAAACACACTTAGAAGCACATACAAGATTAGTAACAAAGCAGCTGAAGAAACTTTACATTCAAATCCATTTTCAACAGCCAGTAAAACATGGGTAATGTCGGCCAAGTCAGGTGGACATCAGCAGTAATGATCACAATATATTGGTATAAAGTTGATTTTGTCTCGTACCATCATGAACATAAAAAACTTTGCACTTTTTGAAGCGTTTTGAATGTTTATGCTATTGTGAGATTTCGTAAGGTAAACAGCCCGCGACTACACACTGTCCACTTTCCTGTTTTCGGTTTGGAACATTGTATAAGAAAAATAAATATTCTTGTAATGTTTCATGTATTTTACCGTCCGCAAATAATCAACCATTAAGCAAGAAGGTGCATCAACCTTAATTAACACCCTACACATTTCAGTTCTAGTGGAGATTGGTCTGCTTCACTTGTCACGTGTATTGCCTTGACTACTAAGAGCAAAAAGGCCAATGGTTGAGTACTGACTCTGTGAGTGACTGAATGCATGAAGGAATTGGGGTTATTTTGTTTTTGTTTTTCAATTATAAGTTGCTTGTAACTCTTCAAACTTGGGTTTGCAGATGTTCAAATGTTTTAAGATATTCCAACCTGCACTCAAGCTTAATAAAGCCACACATTCTGTGTCCATTTGACCGGTCAGAGTAATATTAAAAATGTAAATGCATGAGGCCTGTTCTAGCAGAAGATCATTCCATGTTCTCAAGAAACCATTTTAAGTTTGTATGACTTTGAATATGCTGTGGGTTTGGATGGACTATCTCAATTGATTAAATAAACTAACGTAGAAATGTTGTCCTTCTATTTCTCTGCAATGAGAACTGATCATTTTGGCCATTTTGATGATAAATGCGGTTAAATGATCATTTTCCAAAGTTTGATTTTTATATGTGCAACAATCTACTATTAAAACTTTAAACACAGAGAATTGTTGTGTTTCTTTTAAAGTGTAGAATATAAGATAGCTTTTGAATTTTGCATTGGTTACGAACTGTACACTGCTCTTTCCTGTGTATTAGAACATTTGTTCTGAATGACGTTACTTTGTTCAGGCAGAATGTTGCAGCAGTTGACAGCATTACATCCTGAGGTTCCACAAACCACTGAGGAAATTAGCCACACCTCAAAATGTGTAATCTGGGGTGCCCTGGTAGCTCACCTGGTGGAACTGGTCCTTGCTGTAGTGGCCATGGGTTAAATTTGTCATCTTGCAATTATAAGTAATAACATGCAAGGTTATGTAAAGCATGGATGATTTATTGTTGTAACCCTGAAGTTTGGATTCTTTATTTTGTGTGCATGGAGAATCATTTAATTTCAAGTTAAAATAAGTTTAAATTTAATTCTGAGGCTCATTTATCCATTGCAGCTAAGCTTTGTGATTTAGGCTAGTGGGCATAGGGTGTATATTACGCTGTATTACACTCCTGTGCAGCTTTAAAAAACAGGCACAGGACTCAAATCATTCAAGAACCAGTGTGTGTGCATGTTTGTTTATGTGAAGACAGTTTGAGTAGTGGGTTCCCATTTTGTCTTTTAACGGTCCAATAAATGACCACTTAAAATAGAGTAGTGCATCATTTACTGTCAGGGTGATGAAAACGGGGATGGACAGTGGTAATTCATCATCATCATTCAGTGATTCAGTAGCACAGACATGTATGAGGTGATGGCCTGGATTTACTGGCATGAAGAGCCCTACCAACCTGCCCTTTAGATTAGAAGAGCCAGTTGTGGTCTGAATTTAAACCAATACAAATGTTTAAATTCCAGCAGAGAGGAGGAGCGAAGGAGTCCTAAAATCTGCAAAATTAAACAAATTAGCAAATGTTCATTTGATTAATACATTGGGTATGAAACCCAGTTATTATCAGGATTATCAATTTTCTCAAAGTACACAAAGCATAGATATAAAATCGTATGGTAATGGAAGAAAAGAGTTCCCTGGTTTGGTTGCATTGTGTGAGTTTATAGGACGGAGGCAGACTGGAGGCAGACTGGGGTCAGACGGTTTGGCCACTTAGGAGTAAAATTTTTATTATTTTTACTTTTCGGATCTGACCTGAGGGGAGGAAAGAATAATGATTAGAGAATGGCAGGCAGAATAGGAACAGAGGAAAACGGAGAAACTAGAGCAAGACCTAGTAGGAATCATAACTTGAAGGCTTAAAATGACAAAGTGAGGAGATGAGACACTGTAAAAAGACAGGAGGAATGAGGTGAATTTGCTGGGATATACAATAATACTTTTAATGATACTTCAAAATATAATATACAGTAAATTCATCCATCCAGTAAATAAAGTGTCTACTCAACTCAAAGCAGTTACCCATACACGCCACAAGGTGGCAGTAAAACCAAAGCAACTTTCATATTGTTAGCCATTATGATTCTGTATGCCTATCAACCCAAAGGAAGATGGCTCCCAGCCAGAGTGAAGTGAGTAAAGACCCTGATGATTTTAGGTTCCAGCCTCAGTAGGAAAATCATCTGCAAGCTGAGTCCGTCATGTTTGATCACCAACGTTTAAATGCCAGCTTACTGCATGTTTGAGGGTTATATGTTCATAAATAATGCCTGCACATGCCAGTGTTTCACAGGATGCAAAACAATCCTGTGTGTACTTTATAATTGTGTATGGTGCATTTTAAATGTATTTAAGCTGTTTAAATGGTCATGTTTTTTATTTAACTAGTAAAGCACTTTGAGCTGCATTCCCTTTTATGCAAGTTTATTTATGTTTATTTAAGAATAAAGGCATTTACCCAAGCCAAAAACAAGTACATTTTCCACTTTTATTTATGTACAACACAAACTTTGCAAAATCACAATTTAAAATGTCCTTAAAAAAACTGAAAATTTGATGAGTGTAGCAACAGCTATTGAGACTAAAAACAACCTGCAGCAATAAGCCAAGCCCATTCACACAAACTGTTATTACAGAACAAGTCAACAAATACATCGCTCACAACATCTGTTGCTGTATGAATGTCAACAAAAACATTTGTAATCTGACTGCAAGGATTTAGTTCACTGTAATTTACTGTTACAATTTCACTCTGGCACTTGATTAAAAACAAAAATAGTTTACAATGGTACCGAATGATTTTCTGTGTTCATATAAATAAGGCACATATACATGGAAATAATGGTAGCAAATTGCTTCTCAGGTGCCAGATGTTTAACCTCTATGGAGTCAGCCAACACAGTAACAAATGGTGGAAGTGGTCTATTTCCATATCTGATGTAGATTCAGTTCAAACAGTTTCCCCAAACACACTGCGCATTTTAATGCGCTGTAAATTGTTGCATGCAGCATGTGAACAATCTTCTACATACGAAGTTGTATGTTATTATGGGTGTTTCACCTTAATTTTAAACTTAGTGCTTCACAGGTGTCAACTAAGTGGACAGTATACCATGTAGTATACAAATCAGTAAGCACTGACTGTAGCTCTAGACAGGGCAAGGGCAAATAAGGTCTTTATAAAGTCAACAGCCATCATTTCAAAATTTAATCCATTTGTTAAAATATACAGTAACATGACAGGGTAGCCCTGAAGGATCTAAAATATAAAATAAAATTAAAAACAGGTGATGATCACCTCCTCGGATACAGCTTTTCAAATGTTTCAATCTCTGAGTTGGACTAGCATGAATGTTAAAGTGCCTCTAACACTGAGTCCCGTCCTATTCAAACGTATTCCTTGCTGCTGGGGGGTCTGGAGATGGGATACTTCGGTGTAGATTTCCCTCTTGGGCAGGATGCTGCCAACATGGCACCTCCTACTACAGCCAGGAATGCTCCAGCCCAGCCAATGAAGATGGCAGAACCAAACTCGTACCTTCAGAAAGAGAAGTCACAGTGAGTCAGGAGGGTTAACAGGTGGCAGCAGAGCGTAAGCTTACATAAAACTAAAAACGTGCACAATACATTCATCAGCACTAGAAGAGTGGCTGGACTCATGCAAATGTTTGGATAGAAGGTGGAGGAGGTCGGAAGCCGGTATCTAAAATAAACCAGCGCCTCCGACATGTTTGGAGGCATTGTACTCTGCTAAAGAAAACGTTCAACTTATTGTTGGGTGGCACCTTTTCTATTTGACAATGCACATTTTTCTTTTGCAATTAAAGAAAGAGGGAAGTAGCTCAGACCCAACGGGGAAAAAGTGGTGCATAACGTTTTCAGCTTAAATTCACACGTGCTTACTTGGTATTGACGGGGGTGAAAGGGTTGTAGAAGGCTTGGATGATGTCGTGAGCATACCAAGAGCAGGCAACAATGGAACACAAAGCTGTGGGAAAGCAAACAAGAACGTTACTGAAACTGCACCAGGGAGAAGAAACAAAAGAATGAATCAAAAAAATAGGATTAAAATGGCTTCTTACATCCAATCAGGATGATAATGCCTCCAGTCATGGCAATGCGGGACTTGCGCGTTTTGTCATCTCCTCCACAGTTGGTGCACTTCATTCCCATGCAGGCTACACCCAGGCCAGCCACAGTCACAATGATGCTAACAATCATAAGGGCGCGAGTTGCCTGGAGGGCACCTGGATGAAAAAAAGAAAAAAGAAAAAAGGACAGGATAGGGTTAATCCATCAGTTAATGTGACAACACTTATTAAACAGGCACATGGGGAGAAAAGGTGTGGCAAGATTTGAGAGGCTTTAGTGATTTCAGTGATTTGTGGTGATAACACAACTACTAAAAAAAAAAAAAACCAAAAAAAAAAAAACACTGTTTTATGCGTCTAGAAGCCACCATTTGGGAAAAGGCAGCATAAACAAGCACTGCTCATGTACAACACAGTGGCTTCTGTCTCTGGTGTCTCACTGCCACTCCCTCTAACAACGCCACAGAAACTGGCTCTAACCGGAAGCCCGGAGAAACTCTAAAGGGGGGTGGGGGAGTGGGTGTGTGGGTTTGTCTGCTATGCAAGTCAGAAACAGGTCTGACCAGGTTTCAGGTTTCATTATAAGGAAGGCACTCCCAATTCCAGGTACTCCCAGCCTGCCTTTCAGCAGGTGGACATTTCTTATCTAAGGGGACACAAGTCCTCTTTAAAATGTGAAGAAAGCCCAAAGTGGCTTTGATTTAAGAGTCCCAATCTTGCCACACTTTTCCTAGTTTTGGTATCAATTGTTCCTAAACTTCAGGTATGTGTTGGTCGATTCTGATCAAGTATTTGCGAATACTGAGCCATTATTTGTTCACTTGCTCCATATCTAACCACAGCTTTAATCACACAAGGTTTATCAAAGTTGGTTTGTGTTCATGTTTGTCGAGGCGATAAGACACTGTGCTACAGATATTTTATCAAATGTTTTGATAAGCCAATAGAAAAAATAATAAATCAAATAATAACAAACCAACACATAAGGTACCTGAAGGAAATGGCCAGTTTGTGAACTTTTAAGCAACACACAGCTGTAAATGCATTCGAGTGAATATGGTGTGTCAAGATAAAATCAGGGAGGGACCTATGTACAAAACATTTGTGTGCGCCATTCTGGCAGTTTATGCCCAGGGGCAAATCAGTCGATATTGAAACATGTATGATCAACAACCCAACTGGCATGGTACCATTGACCCATTAAGCCACTGCTTTGAGATAAGAAAGGCATAAAAACAGATACAGTATGGACTCGTGATCGAACTTTAAAGGGAAAGCTAACAGTTGCTCAACTTCTTCATTTAGCCTTAGAGGTTCTTTTTTTGCTACAACCCACAGGCTTACCAATGAACAACCATTTCACTTCATTACATTTCCCTGAACCACTCATAATGGGGCATACTATAGCTGCAAGTGTGGCCTATCTGGAATTGTTTAACCTGTTGATTATGTAAATGTGCACAAACTTTTTTTTTTTGGTAAAGTGAAACTAAATGCTGCATTAACCTTTGTTTTTCCCCATACATTCTGTGAGAGAGTCAACATTTTAGGGCCCAAAACATAGCACACAATGGTTCTCTGTTCATTCGATCACCTGTAGGCCAAAGACAAAGCAACTGTTTGTGGGGTTGGTGTCTCTGACTGTTGACTAAACAGTGGCTCATACAGGTGTTGTTTAACCTTAACTACCTAGGCTGTGTAATGTAAGTCCTACACTTCGGGCTTTTCCATGCATGGGGGGGGGGGAGAGAGCTGAACAATGGCTACAGGAACTCCCTCCTATCAAGTGGAAAGAAAGTAGTTTTTATATATTTATATATTTATAAAGAAAAAAAAAAAACTAAATAAATAAGTGATCTGGCACTGAGTCATGGAGCTGCTCTGTCTCAGTGCAGGTGAGGCCTCATAGCGTGCTTTAAACCAAATAACTGCATTCTGGGAGAATAAAAGGGGGGAGTTAATAAGTGACCAAACCAGTCAGCCCAAGCCACAGGAGTTATTCAAAGAGCTGTAAAAGACGGCTGAAAGAAACGTTAGCAGTTTCTACACTCCAACAGGTGCCCGTGTGTTACATCATTTCCTGCTACACGGTAACCACAGGTATTTTCTCTAGAAATTAAGCAGCAAAATAAGATAAAGTACGATAAAACACACTTCTATACACCTTAAGACTTACAATAGATACAGGAAAAAGTAAGATACTCGGGGTTTTCAAGGTCTTTTAAAGCTAACAGATAAACACATAAGCTTTTTAAATCAACTCTTGAACTTCTGCCACTAACTTCGACGATGCAGTGTCGGCTTTACTCACTGTTGAGCTGCAGGATGGAGTCGTACACTTTGCACTGGATTTGGCCTGTGCTCTGAAACGCACAGGACATCCACAGCCCTTCGTACATGGCCACCGCCGTGATGATGTTGTCCCCGACATAGGCGGACATCTTCCACTGCGGCAAAATGGTGCCAATTATCAGTCCAATTAAGCCTATAAGGGCCAGGGCGAATCCCAGAATCTGTAGACCTGAGTTAGCCATTTTTACTTCTTCTTCCTCCTCCTCAACGACTCGACGACGTCCACCTGCTGTGAAGGTACAAATCCCCCAGTCACTCCTTTAAAATCTGAGCGGGTTTTCACGAAGTTTGCGTCGTTGCTTGAAAAGTCTTGTTTATTTGCGTATTCCTTAGTTTTCTGGAAATAGGTTCGCAGACAACGGTGATAGTACAACTTATAAAGCGTCTCTGCAATTTATAGCGTGTCTCTGCGAGTCTTCACGCACCTGTTCCTCTGCCGCACCTTGAATGGGGAGGGAATAGCGGGAGCGAGCTTTTTTAGGCGGTTTCTGTTACAGGTGGGCGGGGACGCGCACGCAGTTTCGACTCATCGACCGTATCATGATGTCAGTGTTTCCTGGAAGAGTGTATATTTTATAGGCCTAGATAAGGGGTCTCAAACTCACATTGGTTAGGGGCCCCTGCTGGTATTGTCACTCCATCAAGCAATAATTCAGAAAATATTTTCATTACTAACATGCTTGACAACTAATGCAAAGAGCAGATTCTGTGCACTGTTATATCTTCATCCTCTATCATTAAATAAGGCCCCAAAACCTGCTCTCTTCTTATTAACTTGCATGTATTTTTGGGCGCCTTTGACCTTTGCCGTTATTTTGATTTTTAAATTTGACAAATTAAATAGCTACTTTAAAAAAAAAAAAGAATTCTATTTTTATTTCAATTGTTTATGAAGGGATAGTTTAAATGTATATGAAACAATTAGAAAAAGATTCTAAAATAAACAGAATCTCCCAGGTTATTTTATATTTGGTAGTAGGGGCAGGGAAATGATAGATAGGCCACCCTATTATGGTATTAATGCTGACAAATTTAATACATTAATTTAGATGAATTTAAAAAACACAAGGTGGTATAAAATGTAAACTAATAATTGAATGATCTATTATTGCTACATTTTAGAACAATAGTAAGTAATTAAGTTCAATGAAAAAATTTGAGAAATGTCTTAAGATATGGAAATAAAACAATGTATTTATTTATCAGTGCTTCACTAATGTAATGTTTTCGAGTTTAGATATAGCATCTGGGGTTAATATGTAAATGTAATGTAAATGTAAAATGTATAATAAACCAATGAATAGCATTAAATGTCATATTATTTTAACAAAAACCAAACTAGATGTGGACACTAAAGAGTCAGCATTAGTCACAGTCATGAAAGTGTAACCACCACAGACTTAGACAGACACTTAGTAGGCAGAAAAACACAGGAAGATTCAAAACCACAAAACATTTATAATATCATAATGTTTTACATTTATAATAATTATAGAATACTTACACATCAAACATAGCTACAATATGTAAGGAGACAGTACATACAGTGTATTGTAGATTAATATATTAGATCAGAATTATAATTCCAGTCTAGTATAAGATGGATAAGTGCCTACGCTTTAAGTATTACTGTTTGTGCACATATTATCATGAATAATATCATGATAAGCACCAAAGAGAGAGCCTTGTATAACAGTGTATTAAAGCAAAGACATAAAAGCCAACACATACTGTATGTCAAGTAAACCAAGGCAGCTGCATGCTTGTCACCCTGTTGGCTTAATGAGTGCCAAAATGAGAAGCTGCATCAACGTAAGTGGAAGTTGAGTCGAAAATCAATGTCAGTGTCAATTTTGTGTGTGGCTGTCATGTACTTGAGTTATAGTAGCCATTAAATGGTTCTCTGTACACTGCACTGGCAGAAGCGTGTGCTATGTCTGCCATAGGTCAGCAGTGTTGAACTGAACTCCGCTCTGCCAGGGAGGAGGCACTTTTTGAAACCAGGAAAATCAACAAACGGCAGCAGGAGTGGCTCGCGCCCCACACAAGCTAAACGTTAACCCGGAAGAAATTATTCAAAACAAGTCAAGTATCGTACTGTACACTGATAGGTCCTTTTGTCATGTCAGAATGTATTTTTGACACATTCCCTACCAAAAGTGAACGACCCTTTACAACAAATCTATTCGCTGTTCAGTAGAATGTGTTTATCTGTAACTCACTTCCCTTTTAGACACTTGTCTAGGCTGGTGCCATAAACACTGGGGGGGAAACAGAACTTATTTTTTTGTATCCTATAATCCTGTAAACAATCAATATGTCTTGCTGTCAGTTTTCGTTCGTTTCCAATAGTTAAATACATACAGTTATATTCTGTCTTTACGAATCACTATTTCTGTGAGGATAAATAGTAACAAAACATTTCCTTCAAATCCCTTACTAAAATAAACACCCTCCTCTGACATACTAGAAGAAGGAGGAGATCTAAGAAGTAATCCAGGAGGCTGAGACATTGAGTTTTATTTTCAGGAGCACTGTGCCCTGAGGGAGAACAGTTTTTGTATGACAGTTTTGCTCTGACCGGTTCACTATGACAACATGGGAGGAAATCTCGGGGCTTTCATGTCAGCCAGACATGAAACGCCTTGCACTAGGTACATGTTAATCTGGCTGAATGGTGCCTGTAAGGATAAGTTTCCCTTTTGATTTCATTCAGTGTTGTACAGAGGCTTCAGTGTTACAGTTGGAGTTAATTCAGTTACCTCACCAGTCAAACAGGTTTTATTTGAGCAGCTGTCTAGTAGTTCTAAAACATAAAATATGCCACTAAAACACAATTCCCATGAACAAGTAAGCCAACAAGCACAGGCATGTGAATTTCTCTCACACAGGATTTTTCCTAGACTGCATGGTAACGTCTAGGATGCAGTGATTGTCAGGGTTTCAAAAATACTATGATACTTGCGCAACCCTGTGACTTTTCCAACTGATACCCAATCTCTGAGTCATCATATACTGCAGGTGAGACACGAGTAAGTAGTAAATATTTTTTACATGTCAAAGGTTTCTTGTTCCGTCAAATGACTCGTGAAGAAAAAACAGACACTGAACGAAACAATTTAAATGAGTTTGTTGTGCTTCACAGGGTGTGTCCACTCAGCTGTCTCAGTCCTCTAAAACAATTTATTCACAGTGATCTTAAAGATAAATCCCAAGTCAATGGCACACCTGATTTGATTTGCTGAAGTTTTTGGGGGATTCTAATGATTTGTACTGGGTTGTTTACTCTAGAGCTAACTGATCATCAGTTATAGCCTTTACATTTAGTGATTATAAGTGGTTATCATTTAGGTTGGATCATGTATATCTGGAAATTCAATTAAATTTTATCTGTATAGTGCCAATTCATAACA